AAAAAAAAAAAAAAAAAACAACAAAACAATTATTTTCTATTTATAAGGCTGCTGTTCTCCTTTTACATCTCATTGAATTCTTGTGTTGCACTGATGGTAATGACAATACACTGACGTGAGGCAGTGACCTTGTGAACTAGATGCCAGAAAAACAAACGTACTGAATAGTGTGACACCTTTTAAATGTCGAATGGCCAAAATCTGTTTTGCAGTTATGAAGCCATCATTCGAAACATGTTAAAGTGCATATCATGACGCTATTTCACCTGCTCTGATTTACTGTTGTATATATTTGTTGAAGAAAAGTATTTTTTTTAATTTTCTTATTATTCAGAAGAAATGAAGAAAATTACTATCTGTGCTTCAGAAAAGCACAACTTTGGGTACCTCATTCTAGTAATACTCCAGCAGGTAGAATTTTAGGTGACTTTCAGAAGGATCAGAAACGTGATCGTTTCCATTTGAAGTTAGTGTTACTGGCTTTTCTGATTGAGCATTTCACAGTCTTCTTACTATTTACCTTCATATTGTCAATTAAAGAAAATATGCTTCGATTATATAGATCAAGAGTCATTCATATTTTTAATAATTAACAATAAAAAATGAGTAAATACACGTTATTTTCCTAAACTCAGGCCAAGCTGAACAGACATGTAATCACAGGAGCGTGATTCAGCGAGAACCGTGGGGCTGGTAAGAGAAGGGCTGCCAACCACCAGGCAACCGTGGTGGAAAGAAGAAACCCTGGACTGCGGGCAGAGATCGGGGTTAAAGTCTCAGTTCTGCCCCTTTTTCAGGCTAGTGATAGATTTAGTCTTTCTAATCTTCACACAAAAAATAGGAATAATAAATACATCCCTCATGGGGTATTAAATGGCAAGGTATCATTATTACTCTGCATTAATTATATATAGCATATCATTCTAGACATTTTCAAAGATGCTCCAAGCTATCCTCTGAGAATAAATGAAAATGAAAGAAAACTGATTTACGCACTCAGATAGTACAATAATTTCACTTTCCTACAATTAATTTTATGATTAGATTACAAGTACGTTAATAATTATGGGAAGTTCAAAATCTAATTTAAAATAATTAGAGGTTGAGAATAATTACGTTTTGCAAGAGAGACAGATGATAAAAATAGTATTTAAGAGAAACACCAATTATTGAGTGCAAAATATTAAAGACTATACAAAAATTGTCAAAATAGCCATTTACGTTTTTCAGGTAAAAGAATAAGACAATTTCTAAAAATTAAAATTCTATCATTAGAAAACAAAAGAAAACATAAGCTTCTGTTATTCAAAATATTTAACTTGCTGACTTCAAAGCAGTATTTCAAACCCTGAACGTTCCTCGCGGGAACTTACAGCATGCCCAAGGACTGCGTGTGCGATCTCATGGCCCAGGAGGAAGGAAAGCTGATGAGTGTCGTTTACGCTATTTAGAAGCCCAGTGAAAATAAACACTTGTCCATTCTGCACCATAAAAAAAAAAAAAAATGATGTAAGCAATTAGAATGCCATAAAAAATGAGGACATCAAATTTGACAATAAAAATGTATTGGAGAACAGTTACTTACTGGAAGCACAAAGGCATTTATATCGGGGGAATCAACCACATGAATAATCCAATTGATCTCCGAGATCCCTGGAATATCTTTATTGCATTCAATTAGATGATAAACCACTTCTTTAACAGCCAGATACCGGCCGTCTTTCTCAGGTAGCATATCATCTTTAAATTCTTCCATCCACTGAAAGATTAAAAAGTATTCTTTATTTTAAGTGTTTTAGTACTACAAAATGTTTACATTGCTTCATGGAGAGTTATGTGGCTACTACTTAACATTTTTAGCTTTTAATTATGTAAAAATATGCATATATGAAACACTCACATTTGAATTATTCATATAAAGGCAATGAGTTTTCACAAAGAAACTTAGTCCAGTACTAAGATCTTTGATGGGCTGAATGGACTGAAATCCAAATTCCATTCATTTCTATAAACCTACAAATCCTGAGAAAACTAAACACTGCCTGAAAGAACATAAAGATTTCACCTAAGAAACAGTGAAATACAAAAGAAAAATACAGTCACAACCTACTGAATAGAAAAACACCCGACATTTAATAAAGGTTAAACTTTTACCCCCAAAAGACAGTCTTTAATTAATTTTAAAGTGTTTCTTCACACAGATAGAAAGGAAATTGCAGAAATCTCAGAACTAATGAGCACATCACTTTCTCTACATTATGCTGAGTGAAACTAAGCCATTATGTAAAGACACCTTCTATGTTCAATGAGAGATCTTTCAAATGTACTGAGAACACCAAGAATGTTCTAGAAATATTAAATTTCATTAAATACATAATTTCCTTCACATAACCAACAAGTTGGCAACTTAAGATGTATTAGGAAGGTAACACTTTGTAGAGTATGAGTTTAAAATAGTTTGTATCAATAAGTATTTTTTAAAAAGCATGTAAACCACCAATGTAAACTGCCTGAAACAAATAAAAAAAACCCCACTATTTATTAATCCTTCTGAAGTAGATAAAATAAGATTGCATTTAATTACAGTACTTTATAACATCCCTAGGGGAATATGTGCTTAAATTTTCCTATGATGAATGTATTACATTTGCAGCTTAAATAAGAAAAGTGTATCTAGGCCTACATAACATATGTACAGATACATATAATTTCTTTTCAGTTTTCATAGCAACATGAATGGGAGAAGATACATTAATTTCATGCTAGGCCTGTCTCTGACTAAATTCTAAGCACCCTCTCCAATCTCTATTACAAGAGATAGGTTGAGAACCATTTTTATTGTGAAAAACCATTGTTATTTCTTTTTTTCATGGTAACTTTCCATCGACAAACTGAGAAGTTCATCTGAAATAAAAAGATACGGAGATTTAACCACACTGAAGCTGCCCAGCAAGGCTTTGAGACAATTCGACAAATGTCAGCTGAGCCACCGATCACACCCCATGTACATGTGCACTGGAGACAGAAGGATGGCCTCTGTCCTCAAGGAAGAAGCCACTAGGTTACAATGCATTTACCTGAGTTACTATACTTTCCAAGGAGTTAAGACTCCTAAATTCCAACTTTATTTCAGATTCAAAATATATAATAAGTTGCCCAAATTGATGTTTGAAAAAACGTTCTTATTGTACTTGACTTTCGATGTATAAAATTCTGACTATTGAGCTAGTTATTCCAACACTGTTTTACATACTGTGCTAGTGCTTAAGATAGAAAAAGAAAAGAAAAAACAAACAGATAAGATCCCTGGTCCATGAAGCTTGGTCTAACAAGGGAGACAGGCCAGCAAATAAATGATTACACAAATAATTACATTACCATCATGTAAGTACTTGAAGGAAAAGTACAGTAAGCAAAAAGAAAAAGAAAAAAGAAGTACGCTAACCCCAATATAGCCAAGAACCAGCTCACATCTACAAATGAGCTGGTTCACAATCCAGTCTACGGCCTGATCTGGTTCCCCTGCTGACCCATCTGGATAATCAGGGAAGGCCTTCCTGAGAAAGTGCGTCTGAGGTGACGACGGGGGAGCAGGAGTCCGCCGGGTTACCAGAAGGAGAGGAACAAGGAATTCAGGCGGCAGGAAGGCCAAGCGCCAAAGGCCTGAGGCCTCCAGGGGAAAATATGCTAATTTCTTACCAAAGACTGAAATTTAACAGCAGTGCATCTTTCATATTTAAGGAACTTTCTTTCCTGCGTAAGCAATCTGAGTAAAAACAGCTCTCACTACTTACAGCTTTATACTCCAGCTCTGACAAAAGTCTGAAATGCTCTTTCCCCATTAAAAGCAGCTTCCTCCTTCCTGTGATTGGACTCATCTCCAGGTGAGTAAAATAAAACACTATGAATAATAATCCGGAACTACTCAAACCAAAGAACAACTTCCATTTATTCTTCTTTATACTTTCTTTAAATAGTTCCTTCTTGTTAGGAGGAAGTGCCTGCCACCATTTCCTTATACCCCTAGAGCAAAAAGAAAAGTTCAAAGTTCTGATAATCTTCCCGGCACACATCAGTAAAGCACAAACGCATACAACTGGCATTTCATGTCCTCCAACATTTGAAATTTTATGATATAGTTTTTTAAGGGTTTTATTTATTTATTTGGAGACAGAGTCTCACTTTGTCATCCTTGGTAGAGTGCCATAGCATCACAGCTCACAACAACCTCAAACTGTTGGGCTCAAGCGATCCTCTTGCCTCAGCCTCCCAAGTAGTTGGGACTATTGGCACTCACAACACCCAGCTATTTTTAGAGATGGAGGTCTCACTCTGGCTCAGGCTGGTCTTGAACCTGTGAGCTCAGACAATCTACTGCCTCTGCCTCCCAAGTGCTAGGATTACAGGCGTGAGCCACTGCGCCCAGCCCTTAGATATTTTTTTTTAATTTATAAAATTCTTCGCATCAACTATATGGAGCTACAGTTAAAAGTTCTAATGCTGATTTCAATTTTCTTCTTCTTCTATTTCTTCTTCTAAATGAGCTCTTTCACTACAACTGCACTAGTTCACATTTACTGGCTACTTAACATATGCAAGGTACTCTGATAATCTTCATAATAACCCTGTTACAGAAGAAAAAACTGAGATACAAAGAACTTAAAGCAACTTGTGCAAGGTCAGAGATAATAAGAGGAAAACCAGGCAAGGCAGGCAGTGACAGTCCCAACTGTGACCACTTAATCACCTGGTAGGGACAAGTGACCTGAATAAATAGGGTTACAGGACAATAAATCTATACCTTTAACCAGTATTCTACCTGCTGCTCCAGGTAGAAGCAGGCTACAATCTGCCAGGGCTGCAGCAAGGTACAAGGGGAACTACCTCAGCACTGATCTGGGAAATAAACAGGGCTCAGCAGCAGAAACTCCACTGTCCTCTTTATAACACGAGGAAGGAGAGGTAACAGGAAGGAAGATCATAAGCACTGTAAATAAGAAAACGGGAAATTTGACGGAAAACATCTAAGGAGGCCCACTTCCTTCCAGACAACAATATTCTCTACTGCTCAGAATGCTCAGAAACATTCTGATAATGAGCCACGTTTCCAATATTGGGACAAAAATCTTTCCTTCATAGTTCGAATCACAGCAGAAATTCAACATTATACGTGTATGCATCATTCCTCTGGCGAGACTTTATTTTACAAAATATCTTCTTAAAGTCAACGTTGATTTTGCTAAGTCATACACCTGACATGCTTTTAGACATGCTTTTAGACAGAATGTTTCAACCTAAGGAACATAAACCAAACTATGAAATATATAAGACTTATTTCCTATTTAAGACTTTATAACGTTATTTATTTAAAATATATGCGAGACATATTCTAAAAGAAAATCTAGGTAGCTTACAACAGTAACAAACACAAGAAGGTTAAAAACAAATAATTTAAGAGGATGAGAACACATCAGAAATTGGGAAGCGCTATTACCCCAAGAACCTGGGGTGAGTTGTTGCTTTTAAACGACAGCCTATGTAACAGTACCTTTCCTGGTGCCAGCACCAGATCACGCAGTCTACAAGTTATACAGTAGAAGTTCTCAATTTTTGATCAAAAGCACGAAAGCACAAAAAAGGCTAGAAGGGGACTTCATAGTTAGCAAACTCAGAGTTTTATGAGGAGACAATGATCAGCTTCCTTCAATCTTCATGAAACAAGTAATAGAAAAAAAGAGTTAAAGTACTATTTAGCTGTGAAGATACTGATTACTATAATGGAACACTGAGAGAAAATAAAAATTTGTTGGAAATAAAACAGAAAAATAAGTATTAATGTTTTCGGAGTTAACTAGGAATGAGCCCATTCTCATATAAGCAAAGTTGCTCAGTTTCCTAATTCGCTGCTTACACTACACAAACTGCAAAGGCAGTTCGCCAATACTGTTCTCATCTGTGAGTCAGAACCTACACTTCTGATTCTTCTTATAAATATCTTTTTTAAGTGTTCATAAAATATGTAAGAAAAACTTTTTTAGAGATCACACATCTCTATACCACAAATAAACATGCAGTAAATTATTCCAAGATTACTAAATCATACATGACAAAATTGGGCAGGACCTAGTGGAAATTCATTTTGAGCTAAATAGGGGGTGGAAGGGGATCTAACAAGGTTTCTTTAGAAGAGTATTGTTCTACAAACACAGAAGATTAGTTTTAAAAAGTCAATACAAGTTAATACAAAATGTCAATGCAATACTAATAAAAATTAATACACAAGTTTACTTTTTAAAAAGTATTTTACCTCCCCACAATGATTGCAAGTAGCTTCTGTACTGGTTTAAGGATAATCAACAAGAGAGGAACTGGAGCGGCCTGAACCCGTGGAGAAGTGTGGAAACGCCGGCTGGCTCTCCCCGGAGAGCCGCTGAGAGGACACAGAGCTGGAAGGGCAGGAGCTGCTGTCACGTCTTTCATCAGCTGACTCGAGGGAGAGTCATTCCACGCAGCGCCCCCTCTGGTGGTCCTCCAGACTGTCTTACTTTGGCCACTCAAAAGGCATTCTATCCTTCTGTTATTCAAAGTCCTATAAAAAGCAAAGTTTCCAGGCAGAAAAGCGGACCTCTTACTCTGACTTACTCCCAGGCCCTGATACGTGGTTATTATACGACTAAATGGTCCTTGATGACAGTCTGGCGAGGTCACCACTAACGTGTTACATTTTCTCCAGTTAGCTAGGGAATCAAATCGGAAGAAAACACGGTTTCTAGCCGCAGACTGCAGTCCACAGATGAAGCTCATCTTTCTTTCACTTGATTATCTGGAACACACAAAAAATAAGCCATAAATATTGGTGTAAAATATTTACTTACCAAACTGGGAAAATAACACTTATTACACGAGTGCGTCAGTTCTTCCTATTTCAGACTCATTCACCTTACGCTTCTCCTCATCCCCTACAAAACGCCTCTCAGCAACACAAACCAGAGACGCACATGTAATATTACTCTGACTCCACTACGCCTACTTTAGAAACTTAAATTTTCTTCATTTCATTTTTAATTAAGGGGAGTTTATTTTTAACAACGAATTATTTAGGAAGTAAGAAATGGATGAGATGTTATAAAAACAACCATAAAACATTATCAGTCTGCAGTAATAGGGGAGAAGTGTGCAAAGGAATGGTAAAATCTAACCTGCCAAAGGAACGGTAAGATGTAACTTGTCAAAGGAATAGTAAAATCTAACTTGTCAAATGCACTGGATATTAGGCAACGGCAATGTCCTGAGAGATGAGGAACAAAATGAAACAAGTGCCCAGCTTACTACCTGGAGAGTGTTTCTAGGCCTCAGTACAGACAAGGTAAATCTCGGTGGAGCCTAATGATCGCCCTAAACTGAAGAAATAAAGCTGGGAGTCCAGGCATATTGAGAGGTACAGGGCCAAGTACAAGAGAAGGCAGAGCCGCACAGAGAGCACTCCAGAGACCCGCAGAGACTCCTCCTCGGCTGCGGAGCTGAGTCCTACCAGGACCAAGAGAACCCCCTGGAGGTAGGAAAGAGCCACCTGAAAAGACCAAAGGAAACCAGACACAGGCAAGGTACAGCGCCTATTCCCACCTATCAAAGTGGAAACCTCACAACTCATTGGCATTAGAAACTTAAATTTTTGTTTTAAGGTTTTGCCTCAGTATTGGAGAAAAATTAGTCCTAGACTGAAAGCTGCTCTGGCCCAACCTAGCAAAGATTAAAAGCAACACCCAGAGAAATTAAAATGCTTCTGAGTGACAGCTCCATCCCAGAAAAAAAGCTCAAGAACAGTTATTAGAACACAAAAACATCCAGCACTTAACCAGGTACAATTTACAGTTAAAAATTACCAAGCAGGCAAGAAGCAGGGAATATGATCCATAATTAGAATACCAGTTGGAAACTAACTCCTCAGGGACGGCACCGGCAGACAAGGAGATGAAAGTAGTTATGATACCTACACGCCACCTGTGTAAGAAGCTGAAGGAAAATGGGGCATGCTGTGTAGAGACGTGCAATGTGTTTCTTTGAAAGATCTACACTGAACTTCTAAACAAGAAAACTATAATGCTTGAGGAAAAAAATGTACTGGAGAGTAGTAGCAAATTAGACACTGTAGAAATAAAGATCTGTGACCTTGAAAACAACATCAATAGAAATCATCTAACATGAAATGAGAGAAAATGAAAAACAGTACACAGCCCCTCACTGAGGTATGGAGTAACTTCACACGCCTAGGGCCCACCTGGCTGACGTGCCCCAAAGCAAGGGGAAGTAGACAGACAAAAGTACTTGAAACCGTGGCTGAAAATTTCCAAACTTGATGAAAACTAGAAGCCCACAAATTCAAGAAATGTTAACAAATCCCATACTAAAGAGGAAAAAAAAAAAAAGAACAACTGCAAGGTGATCACAACTTCTTAAAACCAATGAAAAAGAAAACCTTAACCATCACATCTCAGATGAATTGCACAAATCCCTCACAAGTTCGAGACCAGCCTGAGCCAGAGCGAGACCCCGTCTCTAAAAAAATAGCCACAGTGTGGGGCGGGGTCCCAGCTACTAGGGAGGCTGACTCAGGAGGTTCACTTGAGCTGAAGAGTTGGAGGTTGCTGTGAGCTAAGACACCACGGCACTCTACCAAGGGTGACCATGTAAGACTCTGTATCAAGAAAAAATAAAAAATGTGTTTCTGTTTTCTAAATAACATTTAGCACCTAGCATGGCAATGGTAGGTTGAAATATTATTGGCAATTGCTGCCTCACTGAGTTACCACAAACACACGTAACATCTGATGTGTCGATTCAACTGTTGGCACCTGGAGTAGCAAGGAAAATAATTTTATGGTTGGGGGTCACCACAACATGAGGAAAGGGTCGCGGCATTAGGAAGGTTGAGAACCACTGTTCTAGTGGGAGGAGGGGGCAGGGAAAGACGGAGAGAAGGAAGAAAGAAATGGCAGCCAGACTAGAAATGAACTAGGAAAGCTGTATTTCTAGATAACATGATCATCTATACAGAAAACCCAAAGGAAGCTACCAAAAACTCCTACAATTAAGGTGTTTATGAAGGTAGCAAGATACACATCGACACAGAAAAATAATCTTATTTCTATACACTAGCAAGTGTTAGAGGCCAGACCTTCCTCCCCCTTACCCTAAAAGTACATACTTATTTCAGCTCTATAATATAAACTGCAGAAAATGCAAAATATATCCATAGTGAAAGTGGCTGTTTAAGGAGGGGGAATGGGGGAGCACACCAAGAGTTGGGAGTACCAAATATGCATATTCACCATCCTGATGATGTTCTACTCAGAAGTAAAATCTAACTTACCCAATGCATGGGACGTACGGAAATAAAGGGAAAATGGTCCTTGAGAGACGAGAAACAAGCAAACTGTGAGCCTTTCACATACAAGTATCTGCTGGCTTCACAGATGCACATGTGTCAAAACTTACATGTGACTCTTTAAATACGTAACAATTAATTATACTAATTAAACTAGGTTTTAAAACTACTAAGAGCGGGATGTGATGGCAGGTGCCTGTAGTCCCGGCGGTTCTGGAGGCTGAGGCTGGAGGATCACTTGCGCCCAAGCATTATAAGCCAAGCCAGCAGGCAACCAAGTGAGAGACCTAAGACCCCGGTCTTTAAAACAAAGACATAACAACCACAGGCAATGTGCAAACTTTGACTAGATCCTAGTTTGTAAGAAAAAGTCAGCTTTAGAAGACAACTAGGGCTCGGCGCCTATAGCTCAACGGGCTAAGGCGCCAGCCACGTACACCTAAGGTGGCGGGTTCGAATCCCCAGCCCGGACCCGCCAAACAACAATGACGGCT